TTTGCAACAATTTTCGATAGTTCCGGTCATTAAATACAAAAAAATAGACCTTTTGGAAAAAGGTGCGCTAAGTTCTCGAAGCGCACTTAACCAGTAAAATCAACTATTTCTTTAAAACTATTGTTATATATGATATAGAACTCTAGAACTATTGTAAAACAAACCGGAACTCTAAAGAAATAGTTAATTTAAATAGTTTTTTTGATTAGGTGCGCTGCGAGAACTTAGCGCACCTTTTTTTGAAAGTCTTTTTTTTGTATTTAATGACCGGAACTATTGAAAATTGTTGCAAAGAGCTCTAAAACTTTTCAAGAGAGTATCAGAACTGCAAAAAAATGGCACATTTTGAAATATGGTGCGCCAAGTCTTGGCACACCATATTTCAAAATGTGCCATTTTTTTTGCAGTTCTGATACTCTCTTGAAAAGTTCTAGAGCTCTTTGCAACAATTTTCGATAGTTCCGGTCATTAAATACATAAAAATAGACTTTTTGAAAAAAGGTGCGCTAAGTTCTCGAAGCGCACTTAACCAGTAAAATCAACTATTTCTTTAAAACTATTGTTATATATGATATAGAACTCTAGAACTATTGTAAAACAAACCGGAACTCTAAAGAAATAGTTAATTTAAATAGTTTTTTTGATTAGGTGCGCTGCGAGAACTTAGCGCACCTTTTTTTGAAAGTCTTTTTTTTGTATTTAATGACCGGAACTATTGAAAATTGTTGCAAAGAGCTCTAAAACTTTTCAAGAGAGTATCAGAACTGCAAAAAAATGGCACATTTTGAAATATGGTGCGCCAAGTCTTGGCACACCATATTTCAAAATGTGCCATTTTTTTTGCAGTTCTGATACTCTCTTGAAAAGTTCTAGAGCTCTTTGCAACAATTTTCGATAGTTCCGGTCATTAAATACATAAAAATAGACTTTTTGAAAAAAGGTGCGCTAAGTTCTCGAAGCGCACTTAACCAGTAAAATCAACTATTTCTTTAAAACTATTGTTATATATGATATAGAACTCTAGAACTATTGTAAAACAAACCGGAACTCTAAAGAAATAGTTAATTTAAATAGTTTTTTTGATTAGGTGCGCTGCGAGAACTTAGCGCACCTTTTTTTGAAAGTCTTTTTTTTGTATTTAATGACCGGAACTATTGAAAATTGTTGCAAAGAGCTCTAAAACTTTTCAAGAGAGTATCAGAACTGCAAAAAAATGGCACATTTTGAAATATGGTGCGCCAAGTCTTGGCACACCATATTTCAAAATGTGCCATTTTTTTTGCAGTTCTGATACTCTCTTGAAAAGTTCTAGAGCTCTTTGCAACAATTTTCGATAGTTCCGGTCATTAAATACATAAAAATAGACTTTTTGAAAAAAGGTGCGCTAAGTTCTCGAAGCGCACTTAACCAGTAAAATCAACTATTTCTTTAAAACTATTGTTATATATGATATAGAACTCTAGAACTATTGTAAAACAAACCGGAACTCTAAAGAAATAGTTAATTTAAATAGTTTTTTTGATTAGGTGCGCTGCGAGAACTTAGCGCACCTTTTTTTGAAAGTCTTTTTTTTGTATTTAATGACCGGAACTATTGAAAATTGTTGCAAAGAGCTCTAAAACTTTTCAAGAGAGTATCAGAACTGCAAAAAAATGGCACATTTTGAAATATGGTGCGCCAAGTCTTGGCACACCATATTTCAAAATGTGCCATTTTTTTTGCAGTTCTGATACTCTCTTGAAAAGTTCTAGAGCTCTTTGCAACAATTTTCGATAGTTCCGGTCATTAAATACATAAAAATAGACTTTTTGAAAAAAGGTGCGCTAAGTTCTCGAAGCGCACTTAACCAGTAAAATCAACTATTTCTTTAAAACTATTGTTATATATGATATAGAACTCTAGAACTATTGTAAAACAAACCGGAACTCTAAAGAAATAGTTAATTTAAATAGTTTTTTTGATTAGGTGCGCTGCGAGAACTTAGCGCACCTTTTTTTGAAAGTCTTTTTTTTGTATTTAATGACCGGAACTATTGAAAATTGTTGCAAAGAGCTCTAAAACTTTTCAAGAGAGTATCAGAACTGCAAAAAAATGGCACATTTTGAAATATGGTGCGCCAAGTCTTGGCACACCATATTTCAAAATGTGCCATTTTTTTTGCAGTTCTGATACTCTCTTGAAAAGTTCTAGAGCTCTTTGCAACAATTTTCGATAGTTCCGGTCATTAAATACATAAAAATAGACTTTTTGAAAAAAGGTGCGCTAAGTTCTCGAAGTGCACTTAACCAGTAAAATCAACTATTTCATTAAAACTATTGTTATATATGATATAGAACTCT